CTCCTTCGATTGAATGATCGGATCGTTCATCAAGACCCGCATATGAGAGGATATCTTACTCCACACAGCCATTTGAAGGTAGTAAGGTTGGGGTCGGCTGCTGACATTGAAAAATTAGTCAATGCAGCTTAGCAGAAGTCCTTACCAACCGCTATTAGCACAACATTTGCGATGATGCAAGGATCAGGTACTCGTTCTTCTCCATGGTTGTTAGAATCGGCATGTTTTAATCATATGACCGGTAATTCAGCTACCCTTAAACATGTTCGGCCTATTCAACATATGGGACTTAGGGTAGCTAATGGAGATCACTTAAAGGTTAAGTGTGTGGGGTATATGCACCAAGAACCACTCAAGTTATCAGATACTCTACATGTTCCTCGTCTTGTCCCTAATTTGGTATCGTTTGGTCAACTTACTGATCATAATTGCTCTGTTACTTTCGCACCGTCTGGATGTGTTGTGCATGACTTGAAGACGGGAATGCAGATCGGAAGGTGGAGTAAGCAAGGGCGCTTGTTTCATTTGTAGGAGCTCGACAGTCCGTCATCATTATCTTCGTCCTCGAGTCAAAATTTGTCAAGTAGGGTTGTCAGTAGTACTCTTCACTCTAGTTTTTCTACTACGTCGGATTCTGTATGGAATTTATGGCACTCTCGTTTATGCCATCCAAACTCTGGACGTCTTTTGCATATGTTTTGTCAATCATTGTTGGGAAAGAATAATGTTTCGTTGGTTTCTAAACATAATTGCACAAGCTGTGTGGAAGCTAAAACATCTAGCATTTCGTTCCCTTCCAGCTCCATAGTTATATCGGATCCTTTCCACATAGTTCATTCAGATTTGTGGGGTCCATCATCCGTTATTTCCCGTAATGGTTATCGTTAATTTGCGTTGTTTGTTGACCATACCACCAGATTAACGTGGGTGTATTTTTGCGTCTGAAATCTGATTTACGGGGGATTGCGGAAGAGATTTTAAAAATGGTCAATACATAATTTGATCGTCCAGTAAAAATCCTTCATTCTGATCCGGGTGGGGAGTTTAGTTCATCTCATTTATTGGCGTTGTATCGATCATTGGGCACTTTGTGTCAAAAGTCTTGTCCATGAGTGTCCCAGCAAAATGGTTTAGTTAAACGTAAGAACCGTCATGTGCCTGATCTTACTCGTGCCCTTCTCCTTGAGTCAAATGTCCCTTCCAGGTTGTGGCCTGAAGCAGTTTCCACGGCAGTCCGACTTATCAACTACCAAACCACTCCTGTCCTTCGTAATAGTATCCTGTACTTTGCCCTCTATGGTCATCACCCTAACTACTCTCGCCTTTGTATCTTTGGTTGTCTATGCTTTGTTTTGTTATCTAAAAAGGAACGTACGAAACTCTCCTTTCGTACAGCTCGGTGTGTCTTCTTAAGCTATAGTGACATCCATAAAGGTTATATTTATTTTGATCCTAGCCTTGGTAGAGTTCGTGAAGCAGCTACGGTGGTGTTTTTTGATGATGATGATGATGATGATGATGACGTTGGTCTCCCTCTCCTTCAACGACCCTTGGAAGATCCCCCCTCGCCACCACCTGATCTGCCTCCCACTCCCGCGACATCTCCACCTGGGTCCCCATCGAGTTCTTCTGCTAGTTCAGATGGGTCCGCCTCGAATATTAATACTTCTTCGTCATCAAGTTCTGGGTCTTCAAGCTCGGAAGGCTCACCACCGCACTCTCCTGAACCCCCAGCTCAACAGATTCTACGCCGCTCTTTACGTGATACGCGTGTCTAGCCCCCGCCGAGGTTTGATGATTTTTTATCTTATGATGTTGATTGTATTGTGGTTCCGACTTGTTATAAGCAGGAACAGGGCGATCCTATGTGGGAGCAAGCTATGCAATCAGAGATCGATGTTGTACATGCCAACAAGACCTAGACCGTTGTTGATCAACCCCCTCCGGAGGTCCCGGTTACAGGCTCATATTGGCTTTATGCGCTGAAGATGACTCCCGAGGGCATAATTGAATACTATAGGGCACGTATTGTGTCACATGGATTCACATAAGAGTAGGGTGTTTATTTTCATGAAAAATTTGCTCCTGTGGCCAAGATGACTATCGTACGTACTTTATTGGCAGTGGCATCCACTCGGAAGTGGCCGTTGTACCAGCTCGATGTAAAAAATGCATTCTTGCATGGCGATTTGAAGGAGGTTGCATATTTGGAGAAGCCGCCAGGCTATAATGTTGGTTCGTTGGGTTAGGTTTTTCTTTTTCATCGATCACTTTATGGACTTAAGCAAGCACCGAGGGCATGGTTCGAGAAGTTTCAGTCTTCCATCCTTAGTCTGGACTTAACCGAGGACTTGTTGAGTGACCATCAGTTTGAGGATTGCTAGCCGGTTAGGACACCTATGGAACTCAATTTGAAGTTGAGTCGGGACTCAGGTGATCTCCTTCCTGATGGTACGGTTTATCGCAGTCTCGTGGGGAGCCTCATCTACTTGGCTGCCACTCGCCCTGATATTTCGTATGCGGTTCAGATCGTGAGCCAGCTTATGCTTGCACCACGACGTGATCACCTTGTCGCGGCCCATTGCATTTTGCGCTACCTTCAGGGGACTTGAGAGGTTGGTATGTTTTATCCTTCTTCGGGCTCACTTGATCTTCGTGCGTACTCGGATTCTGATTTTGTAGGGTGCATAGGTACTCGTCGCTCCACCACCGGGTGGTGTGTTCAATTTGGTGGAGCTTTCATCTCATGGCGGTGTAAGAAACAGGACAAAGTTTCTAAGTCATCTACCGAAGCTGAGTATAGAGCAATGTCTGATGTGTGTTCCGAGTTCGTGTGGGTCCGTCGTTTGTTGGCGGATTTGGGTGTCACGTCTAGCCTGCCGTTGGAGCTCTATGTAGAGAATACCAGTGTCATTCATATCGCTATCAATCCTGTGTTGCATGATCTTACGAAACATATTGAGCTCCATGTTCACTATGTTCGGGATTTGGTTCGAGATGGCACCGTTGCATTACATTATGTCAGGACGGAAGACCAGGTTGCAGACATCTTCACGAAGCCATTCACCAACAGTCGGCATTGGTACCTCTCAAGCAAATTGATGTTTCGTTCCCGGCATCAATTTGGGGGAGGCTGTTAGATGATCATATGGGTTAATTATGGGTTATGTATGTACATATTTAGTTAATTAGAGTGGACGTATGAGCCCATATTAGAGAGTAAGCCCATGCGGCCCATGCATTGGACGAGCGTTGAGGTGCTAGGTTTGTATTGGCTATATATATATATATATATCTTGTAATCCATGGAGAACGGTAAGACAGTAAGGAACGATTTCACCTTGGAGAGTTACCTCTCCTGTGGATTAATCCTGGCATTCCAGGGATACCACGTTAAATCGGTGTGCGATTTGTTTTCTGGGCGTTTGATTTCAGGTTAGCTAACAGACGGTTCATCTAATTCCATACACGAAAAAAACATTTAATTTAACTCTAATCGTCCAATCAAACCGATGAACCGCTAGCTGTAAGCCTATTTAACAAAAATTAAAGATGCCAAGCTTTTGTCCCGCTAATTGGCGACGACGACAGTATTGTTGGCGGCAGGTAAGTAATGTTTTGTAAAGAAGAGAAAAGGCAGCTAAAAGTGGCCAATAAGGTTGGAGGCAGGTAAAGGCTCAAAACACAATATAGAAGATTGAAGAAATCAAGGGTGGGGAAAAGATGAAGAGACTTGTGTCGGCAAAATTTGCATGGCTGGCCTAGCACGATAGAGGGAGGGAGGTAATGTAATGGCTCAAATTCACAACACATTTATTATACCACATAAATGTAGTGCTTTGCAGAACAAACCGGTGATCAGAAGCCCAAATTATTGTTAAGGTTTGACGAACGAATCGATGAAACAAGAAACTGATCAGCAATGCGCACTATACAAGCCAAGTTCGCTTTATGAGCAATCAGCAGTTCGCGGAACCGAACTCATTGAGAGGGCGTCGGCGTGGGAAGTGGTGAGTGACAAGGCTGTGCAATTGTTAATCATCGCTCGCCGAACTTTCCACAACAGTGCTCACTTAAACAAGTCTTTTTTTCTCTATTGGAGCACTTTGGCTTCCCCTCGTGCTGGATATGGAACTCCATCATATGATATGTCTTGTGGGGTTGTTGGGTTCTTCTTTCACTGGCTCAAACTTCTACTTCAGATGTTCACAGTTATGTTTAGTTGACAATTGAGATGGATGAATGATTCAGAATCGGGAGTGGATTGGTTTTCTAAGTGTTTAATTTGTATGATTGTAAGGTGGATTCGTTGTTTGCATTATTAATATTTTGTGTGGTGGACATGGTTATATATTAATTGGTTCCAAATTTCAATAATTCTAGTTGTCGGAGCATGCCTAATGATGGATCATATACCATTTACTAACACGCTCACTCAAACTAAAGTATACTCCTATAACGAAAACCTACTCTATGATACTGAAGTTTGCACAGGAATTAGAAACCATGTGCTTAACAAATTGGGTCATCTTGGTTCGAAAAAAAGACCTTCACTAACCACATTATTAATCAATTGCTTTCAATAAATTTGAGTTGTTAAGAGATATTCAATAATAGATCTTTCAAGCAGATACTACCACATTATTCCATATCCGTAAGTTCATTGGTCTCTTGTTGAAAGATTTAATGTAAGGATATTACATGCCTTTATTATAAAGGCGATATAGATTTATCTTTTATTAATGCTATTTAAGATACTCGACCGGCAGTAATATATAGCTAGTAGAATTAAGGCGAATGGCATTATACTAGACCTAATCCTTGTTTCGCATGAGAGTATTGCAGGTTTCACATTTCATTTCCGAGCAATGCTAGCAGAATGCAATGCTAGTCGAATCTATGAACATGTTTGAATTGTTATTCTTTGTGCAGACAATAAACCCACTGTTTACACTTCCACAAATCTCAGAATTTTCTGTAGCACAAACGAAACACAACTCTCATGGCGTGGGAGCCAATCCATGAATCAAACCAGAGAAAGGCGTACAAGGAACATAAGTATACGACCAAGGTCTCGGGCAGAGCATCCGCGGCTTAGCAAAAAACTCAGCGCATTCTTGAACCGGCCTCTGAAACGGAAACCCAGGGATACAATTCCCCGTCAAATCAAGAACTCCATTCATGATCAAATCCATACACAACCTCCCCACACCGGTAAAATAATTCCCCGACAACGTCAGATTCACCAAATTCCCCAAACCCCCGAGCCCGCTGCACAGCAAATCCGGCAAGATCCCGTAAAACTGATTTCCGCCCAGGTTCAGCTGCTCAACTTTCTCCAAACACACCAACGACCACGGGATCGGACCGGTCAGACGGTTCGACCCGACGTCGAAAACCACGGCTCCGTTGAGCATCCCGACCTCGTACGGCAAGCAACCCGTGAGCTGATTGTTGAGGAGGAGAACTTCGGTGAGTGAAACGAACGCTTTGAAAATCGAACCGGGGATTGAACCGGTGAACTTGTTGTTGGCCAGGGTGAGGTAGAGGATTCTGGTGTTGGCCAGATTGGGTGGCAAATTAGTCATAAACTGGTTGTCGTTGAGAAACAGAGCTTCTAGGTTTTGGACGAAGATTTGGGGTGGGACTGCGCCGGAGAAGGAATTGAACCGGATGTCGAGGAAGGTGAGTCCGGTCATCCCGAGGACGGCGGTGGGGAACGGGCCGGTGAAGAGGTTGTTGCTGATGTCGAGCTCGTAGAGGTAAGGCAGGGCGGCGACGGCAGAGGAGATCGTGCCGGCGAAGAAATTGGAGTTGGCGTGGAACAAGGCGATGTCGGGGAGCCGGTCGAGGAATCCGTCGAGGGAAGGCGCGGAGAGGCCGAAGCCGTTGAAGTCGATCGACGCGACGGCGGTGGCCGAGGCGTTGTCGGGCGGGCTGTCGCAGAAGAACCCGCGGTATGTGCAGATGTCGGAGCCGACCCATGAGGCTGTGATGTTGAGTGGATCCGAGGTAATTGTGGATTTGAATTTTTGGATTACTGGGTAGACGGTGGCGAGCCTTGCGTCGGCGAAGGTGAGGAGGTTGATTTGGGGGTTTCTGCCGGCGGGTGAAGGAGGTGGCGGTGGTGAGGTTAGTGATGGAGACGGCGGCGGCGGAAGCAGTGGAGATTTGGGTGATTTGGTGCGGCCTCTGGATCTTCTGGAGGATTGGAGATGTTGGGCTTCGTGGAGGGAATTGATGGCTAGTGTATTGAGAATGAGGAGGGAAGAGAGGAGGATTAGGGAGAGCGGGAGAAGTGAAGAAATTGAGCGCATTTTGGTGTTCAGTTGGTTGTGTTGGTTTGTGGGTTTTGGAGTCTTTAAGGTTTATGTGTGTTTGGTGGGAATTGTTGTTTCGTGGCCAACAAGAGGAAGTGGGGAATGGAGGGGAGAGGAGAAATTTATATGAAAATGGCGGCAGAGTGCAGAACCCCAATGGATGAATGGATGTAGGTTGGTAGTAATACTATATTGACGATGTGGGTAGGAGTGGACATCCCACTTATAGAACTGGGGAAATCCAATTCATTCCCATTTCCCCAACAAGAAATGGCGCATGATTGACATCATAACATACTCATCCTTGTTCAACTCAGCTGCTATGGTTCTGTTTTTTTTTTTTTTTTTTTTTTACTGAGGTAGGTGTGTAATAGATAGAGAATTACAAAGAGCTGAAAAATAAATAGCGGTATTCAGCCAAGCGTTGATCTATCGATGAAAGAGCCGTTAGCGCCACGCAATGGGCAGCCCTGTTAGTTCTATGAGGAGAAAAAATAAAACGAATAAACGCGAACGACGCTTTCAGCAACCGGACTTCCTTAAGAATTGCCCCACCAAGATTATGCTGAACTTCATTATCCGTTACTCGTCGGATCACCATTTGGGAATCACCACAAAAACAAACAGAGGTAATACCCCGGATTAAACACCACTCCATCGCATCTCTCAACGCTAAGAGTTCCAACAAGAATGGTTCGAATAAACCGTCATAGTACTTACCGTAAGCATGGACGATTGTAGCTGATGCCGAGAATCCCACAAAACCGATGCTTCCACCAACCTCCCGGTGGGTAGCCCCATCAAAACGAACTAGCAAACCCCCTGGTGGGCAAAAATGAGAAGGCGTGGTGGATGGGGAGCGACCAGAAAGATTCCTGCCATGTGAGCCTGACGCGATTGCTGGGATCCACTCGTCCCTTTGCTGCAAAAATTGTTGGAAAAGGGGGTCTGGAAAATACTGAACTCGGTCATAACGAAGACCAGCAGCGAGCCTTCCATATTCTCCATATGAGAAACAGAAGCTCCGCCATCTCGAACTTGTTGAGCTGCAGTGATTTAAACACACAAGACCAGGCCATGTCAGGGGAAAGATTCGCTAACACCACTCGGATGTGCTCCTTTCCAGCCATGCTGCAAACCCCTCGAGCTACCCTGCAGTCAAATAGGCAATGAGAAATGGACTCTACAGCCGAGGAACAAACAGGGCATAAGTTCGAATCGCTTAGGGGTTTAATTTGCAGAATTTCTAGACATGGCAAAAACCCTCTGACAACCCTCCACGAAAAGAATTTAAGTTTTGGAGGGACATGCAAGCTCCAAAGTAATTTCCAAAACTGAGAGTCGAGATGCGGAGGGAGGTTGTTGAACATCTCGGATCGCTCATCCGAGAGGAGATGATAGTCGGTCTTCACTGTATATTCCCCTGTATCAGAGTAATGCCAAATATATTTGTCAGGCCTAGGCGAAGATGGGTAGGGAATAGATAAAATCAACTTAATGTTGTCATCAGTAAAGTAATCTCAGAGGAGATTCTTGTTTCAAGTACGGGACATGGGGTGGATCAAGGAAGCCACAAATGGATTCGGGAGTTAAACTCCAAGCAATAGAACCGGAGAAGAGGGAGGAGAAGTGGGTAACCAAGGATCATCGAGGATTTTGATTGCTGTACCACACCCAACCTGCCACCGAAGTCCTTTGCACAGAAGCTTACGACCTTCGAGAACGCCTTGTCACGCCCAAGATGGCCGAGTCCACGTCGTAGCATTGAGGAACGAACAATGGGGATGATACCGCGCTTTGTACATCTTGGCTAATGTAGAAGTTGGGGACATAAGGATCTTCCAAGCTTGTTTAGCCAACATGGATACGTTGAAAATGTCAAAATCCCGGAATCCCAATTCGCCCCTAAACTTACTCACACACACTGCTGGCTAGGCAATCCAATGTATCCCTTTCTCCTTGTCTTGGCTTGCCCACCAAAATTGGGAGAGCTGCCCATTCATTCGATGGCATGAGGTGGCTAGTAAACGAAAAGACAACACCGCATACACCGGGGTCGCTGAACCAACAGCTTTTATAACCACTTCCTTTGCTTCCAACGAAAATGATTTCGATTTCCAGCTGTGGATGCGCTTAGCCAATGCATCTTCGATAAATTGGAAGGTCTGAACTTTAGATATTTGCACCTGAGCAGGTAAGCCAAGGTATTTGTCCAAGGCACTAATGGAATCCACTCCCAGTAAGGCAGTCAAGTCTGAAGCTTCTTGGGTGGAAACGTTGGAACTGAAGCAAACCTTTGACTTTTGCAAGTTGATTTTCTGGCCACTCGCTGCTTCATAGAGACTAAGTAGTTGAAGCAGTTGCGTGCATTCCGTGGTTGAGGCTCGCAAAAACAAATAAGTGTCACAAGCAAACAACAAATGTGAATTCATTGGAGCTAAATGATGGATTTTAAGACCATGCAATTGCTGTGATGCGAGAGCATTAGAAATCAGTGTGGAAAATGCTTCAGTATAAATGGCAAAAAGAAGGGGAGACAACAGATCACCTTGACGGATACCCCGTTCGGGATGAAAATATCCATGTGTGTTGCCATTCAGAAGTACTAAGAAGGTGACAGTGGAGACAAAAGCCTTGATAAGTTTGATCCAGGAAGAGTCAAATCTCAGCGACTCCATTACAGCAAAGAGAAAGTTCCACTCCACTCGGTCGTAAGCTTTTTCCATGTCGAGCTTCAATGCCATCCATTTATCTCTACCTTGGGATTTCGTCTTAAGAAAGTGCATCAGCTCCTGCGCGATAAGTATGTTATCCGAGATGTCCCTTCCTTTGACGAAACCATTTTGGGTGTCGCTAACCACAGAAGGCAGAACCTGGCTCAAACGAGAAGACAAAACCTTTGAGATTATCTTATAAAAGACATGGCATAACCCAATTGGCCGCATCTGTCTCATTGAATCTGCATTGGGAACCTTGGGAATCAAGTTGATCAACATGTGGTTAAAATTGTGTAGCAAACGCCCTGCTCTAAAGAAAGACAAAGCAGCTACACACACTGAGTGACCAATAATATCCCAAAACGCTTGATAAAACACAGCAGTAAATCCATCTGAGCCTGGGACCTGGGAAGGACCGATACTAAAGGCTGCTTGTCTGATCTCTACCCTGGAGACCGGGGCTAGGAGGAATCTGTTCTGTGAGGAGCTTACCTTTCGAGGAAGTTCAAGGGTTGTCACTAGAAAATGGAAAGGATTTCCATTAGAGGAAAAGAGAGTCATGAAATAGGTAACAGAGACATTACCTTTAGCTGGCTCTTCAATATGAATCCCGCCAGATTCATCTCGGAGTAACTCTATTTGGTTTTAACGTCTCCGTTGTGAAGTCGTTATATGGAAGTAGTTCGTATTTGCATCTCCTTCCCGCAACCAGCTATTCCTCGACTTTTGCTTCCAATATACCTGTTCCAGCTGATATGCTACCGCTAATTGTGCTTCCGGACCTTGTATGATGTTCCAGTCAACAGTTACGCTCTCACTGACAGCTTTCTATTGCTAGGCGAAGCTCTCTAATGAGTCTAGCTGAATTCGTAGTCCCCAAGCATGCCCAATCAACAAAGTGGTGTCTGGCAGATTTGAGAGTAGAGAAGAGCTGGAATTGAGGCGTTCCAGCATACACCTCACGCCAGGTTTGAAGCACAATGGCCTTGGCTTCCTCATTTGAGGTCCATCTTTTATCAAACTGGAACCGGGATTTGCCTTTACCTGCTCCGGGGATCAGCTGCAGTAGGATTATCCTGTGATCAGAGCCAAGGTCAGTCAAGTGTGAGACCTGCACATTCGGCCAAGCATGAATGATTAGTTCACAGCCTAGGTTACGATCAATCCGTTCAAGAATGTGGGTGGAGAGTCCTTGGCGATTTGACCAAGTGAAGGGAGGGCCTTTGAAGCCCAAGTCCAAGAGACCTGCAGAATCAATGAATGAGTGAAAATGATCCAGAACATAGAAAGAAGGAGGGCGTCCCCCTTGTTTTTCATAAGCAAATAGCATGCAATTGAAGTCACCAATGACTATGGTAGGGATAGAACACGACGATATCAAATTGAGTAGTTCATTGAATTGATTACCACGAGTATTTACATCATAGCTAAATGGACAAAGAAGACAGCAATACTACCCCAAACAAGGTGGTGAACCTCGACAAATATATAGAAAGCAGTTGCTCCTAATACTCGACATTGGACATTCGAGGCACAAGCAAACACGAGGCCTACAACCATCCCAAAAGGGGACACACAACTGACCATGACATAACCTAATCGACTTAACTTCTTATTTACAAAATCATCATCATGCTTCGTCTCACTTAAACAGACAATCGATGGGGAGAATCGACAAATAGCTCCAAAGCGAGATGGAATTGTCAGAGGAGAGCCAAGTCTCTGACAATTCCAAGCGAGGATGCTCATATATCGCTTTGGGACCAGCCAGGGATGGTTGCAACCACCACATCAGCAATGTTCCGAGTTTGCAGAGGCAGGAGCCCTCCAGCTTCTGTTTCTTACCCCCATGATTATGGAGCATCAGGTCCGCTGTGTCTGTCCTACCTCGAGTCAAGCTTGGAGATCCAGCTACATCCTCACCCGCAACCAAGACAGGATCAACAGACAAGGACACCAGCCTCGGCGCAGGAAGGAGCTTGAGACTCCCCTAACCTTGTTGAGGGCGAGGGGTTCTCTATCTTGGCAGATCCAGGTTAGGCCTCGACGTCCAAGCAGGTTATTTTCATTCACCTTGGGTCCCGACTTCTTGGAGATCAACTGCTTGTTATAAGGAGTTACCGTGTCCAATGTGATCGAGGACCCCACACAAGTAATAAAATTGTGAGAGCTTCTCAATTTTCACAATGGCAGTGAACTCACCTTTGCCTGCCTTTTCATGTGATGCCGGGATAGAGACCAAAAGAGGGAGACGAGAGTCTAGCCAGGCACGAGCCCTCA